CCCAGTAACTTAACTCCTGACACATTCACATTAATAATAGCTTACAATCTACAGGGACACTGACTGTAAAACTACCAGAGAAAAAGGTTCCTTCGGTAATACATATTTCTGTTAGGCTTACTCATGAGTAATAATTCTAATCCTAGAAACAATATTGCATCTCCTGAGGAAACCTTTTAATTGCTTTGGGGGAAAAATACAACTAACTGAAGACAGATTTATAGAGTTATCTAGTAAGACTGGGACCAAGTCCAAGGGTCCTTGATCCCTCTACTGCGTTAGCAAAGTCTTCCCATACAGAAGCATTGGAGAAATTCTGTTGCCAATCCAATGCTACCAGTAGACATTTAATATTTTGGGTTATCAGTTAGAAAAGATATCACACACCAGTTTTTTTCTAACACGTATGGTATGGTATCAACATTTTACTACTTCTCTGATCTTCTCTATTTCTGTTCTATCTAAAGCCACATATCATGCTATTAATACAAAAAAAAAAAAACCAAAACCAACCCAGTTCTGAAGGAAGCAAACCAGACTCATGCCCTTGGCAAACAGCCACCTCCAAACCTGCCATTTCTTGTAACCGTGAGTTTACTTAAGGTCAGATTGAAACATTTTAAAATTGACTCAGGTATTTTCTGAAAAGCCCTTTACCAGCTAAAACATTGTAACCCAGAAAAAGTCAGCAATAACTCAAACATTTCAGGAGGCTTGTTAAATAAAATCTAACTTCACAGTCATGTAAGCAGCAGAGATCCTTATAATGAATGGACAGAATATACTACAGCAGATCAGGAATTATGAAACTAAATTAGAAGACCAAATCTCATTTGCTATAAAAACAAACAGCTCTTTGTTCTTGAAAAGGAAGTTGCTAAGATAATGCAATGAATCACCCTTCTGCAGTCAATTTCTGATGCTTAAACCTTTCTATATTTCTATGAGATAATTATACATGCATCATACATTTCAGGATTTTGTGAAAAAGCAGGTATGATTAACACCTCATCTCACAGCTTTATAAAGTTAAATTACTCAAAACTACATTCTCCCATATAGCGGACATATAGGTAAGAGTTAAAATTGCAATGCACGCTTCAAGAAAGGCTAGAGAATGTATTAACTTCTTTTTCTTAAATGAACACATTCCAAGAATCACAGTTGTATGCCAGCGATGACTCTACCTGAATTTGATGAGAACAGATACTGCTGCGGCTTGCTAAAGCACCGTGCATTACATACACACACAGCATTTCTGCCTGTCATTTTACCTTTATGACTGCTGTACTAGGGCTGGTCAGGATGGTGTTAAACTTCTTTCATACCAGTTCTTACACTGCTGTGGTTTACATCTGTGACAAAAAACATGCAGACAACATGCTGACGTTTCAGCCTTCTCTGTTTCTTACTCTGTGCTCTGCCCCCCTAGGGAATAGAAGTTGGGAGGGCACACCACCAGGTATAAGACCCAGGCTGACCAAAAAGATACTCCGCATTATATAATGTCATGCTCAGCAATAAAATGGGGATGAGGGAGTGCTTCATCTGTCACTCATATGGAATAAGCAGTGCTTTCAGAACAGAACAACTTGAATATCAGATAAAACTGATATAAGGCTCTCAGCAGCCCGGTTTGTAGCAAAGAGACAAGAGTTAATTTACTGTTGTGTCAATACAGTTGGTGAAACTGTATGACAGTGCTGGTGCATAAATTATATCTGCCACTGCAGCTCTTTTTCTGAAGTGTTGCAATATTGATCAGGAAATAGAAACATTTTTGCACTGAACATCAAAGTCAACAGAACAAAACCTGGGTCTGAGGCTGAGTATTTTGTTTAAACAAGCCCCGTTTTTTTCTAGACAGCACCTCTCTCACCTTTATGAACTGCTAAAACCTCGAAAATTGACCTTTTCTTCTCCTTTGTAGAGCACCTAGAATTTGTCTGTGAGGCAAAGGAGAAAGGTAGCCTTGTTGGTATAATGTTCGATGTTCAACTTAGATTTATTTTTTTTCTTCACACTGAGATTTTCAAATAAGCTTCCAACTCTTACAACTGAAAAGATTGTTCAGAACATAGTCACAAGCGGTTCTTATGCCCTAATTACAGTGCTTTTTCAATTTCTCACCCCTCAGAGGACACACATCTCTTCTCATATGTAAGGGGAAGGAGAACATTTGTGACAGAGTATGATATTATTAACAAGACAATTGAGAAACACTTTTGCATCTTGCATTAGGTGTGACTTAGTTATGTGATATGTTCATGGGTGACAGGAAAATTATGCCTTACATCTGTAGAGATGTGTAAATGCCTCATTAAATTTAATAATTATCTGTTAGAAGAACAGTTCCACAAGACTATCTCTGCTACTGAAAATATAGAATGAACAAAAAATAGAAAAAATAATGAAAGAATATTGCAATTGTATCATCACTGACCTTGCTGAATTAATTCACCTGTTCAGAAATATTTTTATAAACATATTAAAAATGAAATATTGTTAAAAACGCATGACTGGGTTGCACCATGAAAAGATTATCAAGTAGCCCAAGAAATTAGACACGGATTATATTTTCAGGTTTGAGCTCAATTCAGCCTAAATTTGTAAGTTAATTCACATATGACAGAGGAAGAAAGCAGAATGTGGAAGAGAAAGGACATTGCTATGAAACATGACACATAAAAGGAAATTTAAGAATAACTTTTATATTAAAAAACAAGTATCATCTTTGACAGACAAAAATCAATAGAATGACTGATTCCACAATGTTCTCTATAGATAGAAAACAAAAAACAAAAAAAAACAAAACCAACAAAACAAAACCACCAAAACAAAACAAAACCAAAGACCAAAACAAACCCAAAAAACACAAACAAAACAAACAAAACAAACAAAAATCCCCACACAAAACAAAACAAAAACCCCCAAACAAACAAACAACTAAACAAAACCCAAACAAAAATCCTCACCACCTTCCTGGATGTGGCAGAAGGCAAGTTATCCCAACAATAGAAAGCTCTCAAGGAAAGCTATGCCATTCCATTTATATTGACAGCTTAGTTTTACAGCTAAACAAGGGTTATCAAATGCTGGGAAATCAAAACTGAATATTGTCAACATCTGCTCACAATGAGGTGGTTAGACAAATGAAGCACAAACTTCATACTAGCCAACTACGCATTTTGACACATCATTAAACAAAAAATTAGCCAGTTTATTATATTTAACATATTTACAAAATACTACAAATTAAAGTATTGTAATTCCATTATTGCATGACAACAAAACCTCCATACAAGCAAAAGTAGCACATGAAAGAGACACTCCAGAATATTTAGGAAGTCTTTGGTACTCAAAATATAGTTAAAGATGCAGCATTAACTCAATCAATACAGGGCATTAAACACAGACAATGATGTGTAGATTTATGCCAGAAAATAAGTTTAGCTATGGCTTTCATTCTTTTTAAAGGCTGATTACTGGACTCTGGAATTGCTTAAAAGCTTTACAGCAACTTTATGATGGAGACACTACTCAAAATTATTCTAAAACCAAGCTGTTGAAAATGACTGATTTCTCAACTCATATTCAATTAAACTGCCTCTTTCCAGAACTATACAACAGCAAAGCACTTAACACTTCACAGACCTAGAGCCTATTCCTCTACTCCTTGAGCAGGCAAAACTGTGAAAGAAGCAACTTTGTCTACTTAAGGAAATTAGGGTCAAGCTCACTAGAGACAATAAAACTGCATGGCAAAACATGATCAAAGACAGTATACTCTAGTCTACACTGCTGTACACATCATTTACAAAATATGTTTTATGCATAATCTACATATTTACAAATGCTCTCAATTATCCCATCAAGTAATGTACTCAACACAATCACAGTTTACAAAATTTTGAGGTAAATCCTTGAAAAGTTAGAGCATCAGCAGAGTTTCATCTGCAAGGCTGAATCTCACAACTGGAGGATTTATAATTAGAAGATCCTCTCTTCACCTGGTCCCTCAGCAGTGTATGCTAGGTGTAGCAGATGGACAAGATGGTTGCAGAGACTAAGGGGATTATTGTGCTGTGCTTGGTTCTTCCTGATGACCAAAAGGAGGCCAGAAAGAAGCAAAAAACCATGGGGAACAGCCAAAAAGAATCTGAAATATGTACTAGCAAATTCCGCTCTGCGGATAAACAGTGGATGTTATGTTGCTTGTAGAGTGGGAAAAACTGCAGTGTTAAATTGTGCAGTGTCTATGCATGCTAATTGCAAGATGCCTATATGAAAAGAGAATGGGGAAAGTCAAAAGAGAGGATGTGAGACAAAATGAATTAGCTTTCTTGATTGGTCAACATTACCAAAGGAAGAAAATGCATTCAAGACCTTCATTTTCTCAGAAGTTTTCAATTCAGGTTAGACATAATCTAAACATTCCAAACTGCACATCTGAAGACATCACCCACATTTATTTTAGCTTATAACTACAGCACTTCTGACTCTCCATAAATATAATAAAACACTGTCTCCCAAAGGAGTGGACACTACTATACAAGGCTTGATGTTTCAAGCTAGCTAACCTAGATATATTTTTCCTTGGTAATGTTCATAAGAAGACAACAAGACCACTCAGTCATTGAAATGCTGTTAACATCCCAGAGTACAAGAGAGGAAAGGGCAAAAAGAAGTCTGCAAGTTCCCTTTGCATTACCTTATAAGAGCACAGATGGTGATAGAAACTCCTCTCTAACTAGAAGACAGTTTGCAGTTGAAAGCATCAAAGTTCATCTGAATCAATCAAGAGGTTAAGAGAAACAGTTTTGCTCTTGAGAAGTGACATCATCTTGCATTAGCATATTCTCTTACAGAATAGGTTTACAATATTTAATGTTAACAATGAAAAGTTTAAAACTCATCTTGTCATGAGTTTTAAAGTCCTCTGTTGCACTTTTATGGTCAACTGCTTAAGTGAAAAAAAAAAAAACACTCACACAAAAGGACTTGGGATAACAAAGAACGGATCCCACACTTTCACTTTGCGGGTGTTTTTTTAAGCAGTACTACATCACTACATACTTTTAAGATGTTGTCTTTAAACAAATTCGTAGAAGATTTAGGCAGGACCTCAAAGTAGTCAGTCAACTAACTATATATGCATTAATATTACTCATGTTTGCTACATATTTCCTTCAGATTGTTTTTGTGAGTGTAAAACTGTTTGTAAGGTGATAAGTAAAGTAGTTTGATGTCTCAAGACAAGTCTATTGACTATACTTTATAGCCCACTGGAATGACTGAACTCTGTTTTCTGCATGCAGTGATAAGGAATAATAAGCCTTCATCTTCTTGTACAATCACAGATGTTAGCTAGAAGAAAAGAGACTTATTAAATATTCAGCCATAGCTAGTATTTTATGGTGTAGTACAGGGTGAAATGAAAAGGAGCATAAAGAAATTTGTTTTCCAAAGATCTTGCAGGAAGGTAAGGGTTGGACTTTGTACTGATCCCCAGTGATGGCAAACCAGCAGGTTGTTTCTTGCACAGCTCTGGGCAAGGTAATAATCTGTCAGCACAGACTTCTGTATAAATCCCAACATTGAGACTGTAAGGTTCAGACAGACAAAAAATGCTGCTCCTTAAATACTTAACAAGACCAATAATACTTTGAAGATATTAAATTTTACAATCCCTGAAATTGCTGGTCAGCAGAGGAAAGTTAATTCATTCGTCCTCTTCTACATAAGTTGATGGAAACCAGCCCACCTGAAAAAGAGAAAAGCAGAACAAAATAATACATGAGATGCACTTAAAAAAAAATTAAAAAGAGAAAAAAAAAAAAAAAAAGGCTGAACTAGGCAAAACAAGGATAAGATTACAAAGATAAGCTTGACTGACCTGCTACAGGTCAGTATCTTAAATAACTGAATAACTTGCAGATATGATGACTTGGAGACTAAACACACACACAACCCCTACACCCCTATCCCCTGCCCAAAATATGCCCAAGTTGGAAGTCTTAAGCATTCAGAAAGACATCTAGAAATGCCAGGAGCAGTATGCTGCTAGGTTTCGAATGAGTTAAATATTTAACAGGCTTCAGTCAGGTCCAGGGAAACCTCTTACAAAGCAAATAGTGAGTAATTTGATTGCATTACTTGAAGTTAAATTCCATTGCCACCAAGAGGAGTTTTAAATATGACAAAACTGGAAGGCAGAGTCCAGTGTTCTATATTTCATAAGTTATAATACTATCTCCATTTTGAAATTAATTATGTGTCAAATAAGGATTATATGAGACATACAGGGACGCATTGTCATGTATTTCTTCTTGTCTTATCTATTTGCTTTAGGTTTTTCACTCAGGCTTCTTTGTACCTAAGTCAATTTAACACTCATGAAAGACCTGAAAACCAAACCTAGAGAACTAGTGGAAGGAGCAACTGCATAAATTTTGGTTGAGACTCCTTTGCCAAATTGTCTCCAGAAGCAAGTTTATGATCTCAAGTCCAGTCTGTGAAAGTTATCAGAAAGAATGCTGGCATACAACAGGACATCCTTTAGTATGTGGGTAGCTGCGTTAGAATGACATGTTTTCTTCACATCTAAGATGTATATATGGGATGACCACTACTTCTGCTTCCCTACTTCTTCTTGTCTAATTGACTTCTAAGATCATAACCAGGCTCATGTATATAAGAAAGCTCTTTAAATTGCATAAAGCAGTACATCTGGACATCTGCTTCAGCAGTACTTGCACCTTTAGTTTCCCCCTTCCAGCCAATCTTCTTTCTTCCACCTTGCATTCCTTGACCCTTCATCTCTGCATTTTAAACATAGAAACAGTGGCCTCAAATACTTCTGACTAATCTGTACTAAGATTGAAACAATATAGCCTTTACAAATCAAAACTGAAACCTCACTTCCATACAAGTCTTAGTGAAGTGTGAAGTGACTTAGCGAAAATACCCGCTAAATATGCCACTTCTTATAAGCCACATTGCTGGAGACCAGAAAAGCAGCCTCTATAAAAGGTGGCTGATTCCAATATATTGTAGTCTGGCAGAAAGGTGTGGAAATCCTTCTGTGTTAAACTGCTAAATAGACTTCCACAGCACCAGAAACCCGAGCTTTTTGACCCCAAATACAAAGCAATACAGTTCAAAAAAGTTCAGCTGTGGCTGCATTATTAATCTTGGTTATATTCCAACCATATTATCTTGCCCCAGTATTCAGCCTGGTAGTTCACATTAAATAACCAGGTCATTTAGGTGCTGGGAAAGCTGCTTGGCAAGAATTCTGCCTGGCTTGTATGAAACAAGGATGAAAACATGTTCTATCTTGTGAATTTAAATATACAAAGAAGGTTTGTAATTTAGGAACACACCTTATTTTTTATTTTTTTTTTTCAAAATCACTCAGTGAAGGCAGAAATAAGACAAAGGAAAAGAAGCAAACAACCTTACCCTTCCGTTTACTTCACCTCTCCACCAGCCATTTGCGCTCATCTTGGTATAAATTTTCACAACATCCCCTTTTAGCAAGGATAGTTCTCTCATGTCTCTTGCACAGAAGTCATACCTGGCTATGGCAATGCCTATCACCTTTGGGCTTAGCACTGAAATGAAACAGATGTTGATACTATTAGGGTTTGTTAATTGAAGGCTACTAAAATAATGTAGAGAGCAGTATTGTAAAATATAAAACAATGATTTTGCAACAACATACACCGGCATTATTTTTATGAAAATAAGAAAGCATCTGCACTAAACAGATCAAGATAGGTGAATGATGCAAAAGTTGAAGGGAATTGATATTATTTTTATTTTTAATGTCCTTTTTATTTTTAGAGAAGAATCAAACTACATGAACAGTAAGTAAAATCTCCCACCCCAGAATTGCTGAACACATTCACAATTACTGTATTTTTGTGCTTCATAATAAAACTTGCTGCCAGTTACATGCAGCAACATATTTTACAGGTCACTAGCTTCTTTCCAAAAAAATTATTAGTATTTACAGTTGATTTAACTTTAAACCTCTAATGAAGCAAAACAAACAGAATAAGGTGCTGTTCTTTCAAAAACAACTCCAAGTTAAATATTAATGCACTTACACTTGGAAGTTAACATCAGCATGAGCAAAAAAAGTAAAAGAGTTTCCACAAGAAATTTGTATGGATCATTTGCTACAATCTGCATTAACAGTGGCTGACGTAAATCTACTCTTTTCAGGAGTTTCTTCTGTAAATCACCAATGAATCTGAGCTACAAAACTTCTCATGAAGAAAAAAAAAATCCTTATAAATTTTTTCCTAAGTTGCATTGAAATTCTTAAAAATGTTGAGCTTCATCAATATGTCAGCATTTTGCCAGCGTAAAGGCCAGACATTTCAAAAAGTTGTGAACAGTTATTAAATGCAAACATGGAAAAAAAAAAAAAAAAAAAGGATCATTTAAAAAAACAATCCCCTACTACCAATTTTACACTAAATTATGGTTTTAACCCTGCTATAGAATGTCCAAAGTTGCAGAAGAAATCCTTGAATCTTCCAATGAGAGGCAAGTGGGCATGGCACCTAAGGAGTAAAGGTCTTTGTGTCTTGAACAGTCAAGATTTTAGTTTTAAGAATGCCTTCAATAATGTTACACTAAAAGCTCACAGCTAGTTGCCTTTAATTTGAATCAGGAACACAAAACATGGCAAATGAGCTAGAAAATCTTAACAGTTTCAGCTCTGTTTGTATTTAAGATTTCTTCTGACCCCACATTTCAGGGAAACAGAGGCTTTTCCATAGTCGTATTGGATGTATGAAAATCATTATATACCCCAATATTTTTATCTTCTAGAGACAACACAAATAATTTATTTTAGAATGAAAAATACTGTATTCAAAATATTATTAGATATATCACAAAAAATAGAATACCTTAAAAACTGCTTTGGAGAGAGATTATGCCCTCTTTATATCATGTTTATTCCAACATATCAGACTGCTTATGCGAACTGTGCTTATCAGATACTTGAAAGGATGTACAGGATGCCACGTAAAAGAACCAACATCTCCATTTATTGCTTATATGTTTCATAGACAATCTAGGTGCCATAGTATTAAAGTTCAAACATATTTTTTTCCCCTCTAAGCAAGTCAGATGTAAATGCTACTTGTTTAGATCCTGACACCAATGTTATGTCCTATACCTTATCATCACCACAGTAATCAATTTTACAGGGAAAAGGGCAGGAATTATTTTGGAGAAAGAAAACAAAAAATAACAATGCAAACAAAAAGAGCAGTTATTGATTGCAAGGTCAGTAACCACTTATAGGTGTGCAGCAATATCACTGGCAGATTTGGGGAAGCATCACAGGATGGAAGGAGTGAATCTGGGGAGCAGGGTATTATTTTCGATTCTAGAAAGGAGATAAAGGGGCAAGGAAGATTACATGAGACAAAGATGACAAATTTGGAAAAACATAGAAGAAATGTACTAATGAGGGAAGAGACGCATGGAAGATTAATGAGAGGGAAAATACTGAGGAAAATTAGGATAGAAAAAGAAATAGGGGCAGATCTGGGGGAAAGGAGGACTTCAACTCTTTTTCAAATTGTGAAGCCCAAAAAGAAAAGGAGAAAGGAGAAGAAGAAATCAAGGACATGAAGAGAAATCATGATATGAAATATATAAAAGGAAGTCAGATGAGTGGTGGAATACAGGAAAATGACAGTCCCAATTTTAGAAAAAATATTAATCATCTTTCTCTGGTGACATAGTCACAAAACTAACTTGAGTTGAGACTATCAGTCCTGAATTCCCAATCAGAGCTCTCCCAAGATAAAGGAAACTTGAGGGACAACAGTCAGCATATGGAAAGTACATGTGTACACATGAGAGAGAAAACAAACACTGAGTTAATGAGAGAAAGAGGATAGCTACAGAGAGAACAAGGAGAGAGAGAGAATGAGATTAACAGCAGAAGCTGATGTAAAGAAAGTGCCCAACAGGAGAATGTGAATGAGAAATTAAAGATGGGAAAAAATGGCGAGGGAAAAAAAAAAAGAAAAGAAACTGTTGAGAAAGCAGTAATAAATAAACCTTGTGTATTAGGAGGGAGTTACTCAGAGGATTAACAGGAAACAGACTGAGAAATCTCAGGGAGGTGAATAAAAAGTGCGGGTGTGAATAAGAAAAATACACTTTTGCTTAACCTAGCCCTTTCTTCTGCAAGCAGTAGGAGAAAAAAAAAAGACAGGGAACTATTTACACTAGAATATGTTAGAAAAGTTTCTTATTGACAGAGAGATGTGCTGCAAATGAATTTCATTATTAGTTTGGACTACTGATGAAGGAACTGGGGTGCAAACAAAAGAGGTCCCATGTGATCACAGCAAGCTGGTGTAGCTCAACATTTCTGCCTGTACTTAAATTCCACAAGGGTCAATGTATCATTTTAAAAGCTGTGAGCAGTTTTTTCTCTCTCCTTGTGGTATGGCCTCCTCATAATTCTGCAGCCATATCCCCTAAGGGTTGCTCTTGTGTATTAGTTTCCATGCTCCTTGAAGTAATGTGCATTTACTTGCACTGTTTAACCAAACCTCAATTCTACTACACATGCATGAGCAGCACCTCCAGTAGTGCGTAGTAGTCAGCTTAACCCTTCTCCTGTGCTACCAGATTCCATATCAGCAGAACTAAGCCAGCTCTGAAGATCCTTCTGAAAAAAGTAGTTGATATCATGAAATAAGTACTTGTTCAGTTACATGAGCAAGTTATTTGCCTATTTTAAAAAACCTGGTTTTACTAAGAACATATTAAGTAACGTAGCCTATCTATTAGAATGAAATCCCATTCAAACAGGCAAATAAGCTTACCTTTAGGTAATTCTTAAATTAAGAATTACTAACCAACATTTTCCTTTAATATTTTGTACTTGTATAAGCAATACTTTACACAGCTTATTGTGAATGCAGGGAATTGACTTCTTACTTTCTGTTAATAGTTACTTCAGAATATTCTGATAAAGCAGTTTTTCTCAGGTAAAAAGGAATATAAATAAAATTTGTTGAATCCATATTGGGAATATATGGCAATGTGTGATAGGCTTAAAGTAATACTGAGTCTTGTTTGCTGTCCTATTACTGTAGGCCACTTCACCATGGAACAGATACCAGTTTCACTAAGAATGGACTTTACAATTAAGTAGTGTGCAGCTGTATGAAATAGGTCATCTTCTATCCTCACCTAAAAGGATAGAAATGCATGGTATTTACCTACAATCAAGAGTCAGAACTTAACTCCTTTGTGTTCTTCAATTCAAATAAGGTGAGTGCTTCAGACATTCCACTGAATGTCATGACCATAGAGTAAACAGCTAAACCAGCATTCTATTAATCTTTTCTACAGACGTGTCCTTTTATATGTCAACTGGAAGAATGCCTTAAAGCTTGAATTCTCTGTCAATGTTGTGACTACTGAAAGGAAAGAAAAGTATGAGCCTCAAAAAAATCTCTATGTAAGGTGATAGAAATGGAAGAAACAGACTCCAAAACAGTGAACAACTGATGGGCAAAACATTTGAGAACACTGTAGGACATCGAGATCGAAATCCTGGCATGAATCAAGGGAGGGGTCATTAGAGAGACTCTCAGCACAAGTAAGCACACTAGTCATTCAACTCCTGAGCTGCTACCTACATCCTTTTACCTTCTAAAAACCATAGAAAACCTTAAAAATCCATCTCTGAGCACTAAATAATTTGGATGACTTCCATGGGGGCAGGTGTAAAACTGCCCACTCAGATCTTATGACTACATCCACATTCATGCATACTTCACAACTCCCTTTACCTAGTGCAAAAGCCAGCCTCAATCCCAATTTGCACAATCTAGTTCTCCACCCCCTGTACACAGAGTTATGTCAGTGTAACCTGAGTGAAAGCCGCATTCCCAACAGTAGTAGCTCCTTCAATATGCTCCTGAAAGGCATTCACCTTCCTACTAGCAAAATTCTTCTTCAATTGTCCAGCAGTGCAGTTCACCTCTTCGAAGCAGAGAGTCACAGACATACTGATGCACGAATCAAGATTACCACTGCTATCACTTAACGCATTTTTAGGCAGTCTCTTAGCTTAAAATGTTTACATCTATTAAAGCCAAAGATGGTTAAATGAGAATAAAGAAAACAGTATTTAGAAAACAGATGGGTAAAATTAGTTAACAGTGTTAATGCAGAATTTAAAGAAAGCATTTTCTACAAAAAGAAAAAAAAAAAAGCTATTGCATTCTAAGATGCTGCTGCAGTATGGTTTGCTGCAGGGATGGGACGAATATATTAATTGTCTACCAGCAGTGAAATTTTCAGGTTTGTGCATTTGAGCAAATACATTAAAATACATATAGCTTATAGATGTCAACTATGTAGCAAATTAACACTGTGTTTAAGTGATCATTAATTGAATCTGCTGTGACTACTGAGCTTTGCAACACCTATTCAAACTGCTTATTGTAATATACACTTTTCAAAAGTTTAAGAGTTTGATTTTTGTTACACTCCAAGAATAACATGTAATAACTCAGTTTTTGGAGGCTGAGAAGAAATGAAGTATTAGATTCGTCCCTTCCCTCTCTTGCTGCACACAGAAACAATAGAAACAAATTTAGAAGAAAT